GAAGCCATCCACGCCCCCTGGATCTTGTGTTCTGCAGTGAGGGGCTACTGTGGCCATGGGGACTTGGGGCAAAAATTACACTAAATTGGACAAAAATGCCCCTGCACAAATAAATTAAATCTATTACGTCTGTTGCTAACAAAGTGAAAATGAACAGACAGTGTCGATTGTGGCATCAAATTAAGATCTGCTCATGTTGCACAGTATTTCATTTTAGGTGTTTTTAAAATGTTGCGCATTTTAACCAATCACACACAATTCTGTTGAGTTTAGGAATGCAATGGCCAATCAGAGGCGTTCAGATGAGTCATCGCTGAAACACATCAGTTTTGAGTGCACGCGCGTTCTCTGACTGAATTCCGCGAATTCTCTCATCATAAACAACAAAGCGCAGATGCACGTACAATGTAACTAAGAGATTCATTTCACAGTGTATACAGCTTCAGTGATTATAACGATAGTTTTTTTTTTGAGAGTGCTTAAACTTGTGATAGATCAAAGTTAGTGATAATGTCACTTTCTATGTATAATTTATTAGCTGTTTGAATAACCGTGGAAAGGAAATGTTATATAGCCTAATTATCAATTTAATAATAATCACGTTAAATACAAATTCAGTCCCATTAAACATTTTATTAGCCTACATGACACCCAAAAAGATGGGTTTATGATGTTTAATACATTTGGCTGCTTTTAGCCTTACCTTGGAGTTGGTTCACCCTCCGCCTATGCGTTCATGTAACAAAAAAATGCATAAAAATAAGGCTTTTATGAAAACACTAAATAAAAAATTGCTTACCAGCACACAAACCATTCACAATTGCTAAATTGGGCTCAAATAGAAGGCTCCGAGTGATACTAAATGAAGAGCCATTTGGGAGAATGGGGAGCTTCTAGGGGAGCTGAGCCAAAAGAGCCAAATCTTTGAAAAGGGCCGGACTTCCCATCACTAAAATGAACCCGGAAAAGAGTTCCGTGTGAAAGAAGGCGGAGCCTCAGCACACACCTCCTATGACGTAATCGTCACGGACCAATTGTAGTACGAAAGTGTTTTGCAGCCGGAACGAACTTTTATGGAAAGTTCGCTTTGGCCAGCCCACAATGAACTTCCAAAACGAACACAGAACGAAATTCGTTTTGGCTGCATTTCGCTTGAAGTATATCGGGGCCTTAAAGGGACGACCCTTTTAGCCACTGTAAGAGCAGTTTGTCATTCCAAATATGTAATTTCTCAAATATTGCAGCTTATAATGACACTAATTCATTCAAGTCCCTCAAAAAGGCTGGTTGTCCACTTAAGACAAATGCACGAGAGGACAGGATAATGCTGAGACTCTCAATGGGGAATTGGTTCAACACTGCAGCTGGAATTGCTCGCCAGTTCAGCATTGATCAGGGTAAGGATCTGTCTCGGCACGTTTCAGAGAAGTCTGATTGAAAGCGCACTCTGCAGTGACCAAGCCTCTCATCAGCAGAAGAATCAAGAGGCTAGACTCACCTTTGCTGAGGAGCATGTTGTGTGGAGAGAGGATAACTGGTTGTTTGTGTATGTGTGATTATTATTTATTATTTAGCTTATTACATGATATGATGCTCATCACAAAATTAACCCCTAACAGGGTGAGACTTTAACATTATAAATAATGTTAAACATTTTTGGTACTAATTCATATTACAGTAAGGTTCAATGTGTTACCATGAAGTGACAGTTAACTATTTTTTCAGCATTTATTAATCTGAGTTCATGTTCATTTTTAAACGTACTATTAATAATTAATATACTTAATATACATAATTAATGTTTGTTCATAGTACATGAACTAATGTTAAGTTATACAACTTAAAATGTAAAAAATGTGAGTATATGTAGAATTTAACATTAATCATGGTAAATAAATGCTGTAAAATGATTGATTTTATTACTGTATTATTGAATTCTGCTGGTTTCAAGTGTGTTTGTGTTTCAGATGAAGACACTGAAGACCGAACTGGAGGTGGTGCATAATAATATATCGGTGATGTCAGACATGATGAGTCAGATGGAGCCTGCAAGTCTTGAGCCATCAGACACAGAGCTAATACAGGTGGGAATCAAACACACACCCTTACTTTCTTTTTTCAGCATGTACACACTCATCCTCCAGTCATGATTTTAGGCCTATAAATGTGAAGGACTGTTGCTGTTTCTCTTCTCTCTGCCGGTCAGTAGCAGCTCTACTCCATGACCAAAGATATGCAGGGCCGGATGGTGGAGCTCATACCCAGACTGAGCGATGAGAAGCTTATAGAGCAGTTACTCTGTGCCAACGATGACGTTAACACCACGTTTGCACAGTATCACAGGTTAGAGGCAAATTGTCTTGATGACATGATGTTTGTGAACATTATATGAATGTTCATTTCATGCGCATAGAGACCTCCAAGGTGTAAATGTGTCGTAAAAAATATGGTAAATAAGTATATGACATGATAGTTGATCCAAAAAGACCTTTCGTCTTTCTTTATAGTATTAAAAATAGATAAAATACACATCACAGTTGTTAAAGGGTTAGTTCACCCAAAAATGAAAATTAGCCCATAAATTACTCACCCTCAAGTCATCCTAGGTGTATATGACTTTCTTCTTTCAGACGAATCCAGTCGGAGTTATATTAAAAATTGTCTTTGATCTTTCAAGCTGTTTAATGCCACTCAGCAGGTGTTGCATGCATCAGTCCAAAAGCACTTAAATAAAAAGCGCCCATCCATAAAAAAATCCATTGTCTCACACGGCTCCGGGGGGTGAACAAAGGCCTACTTCTAATTAGTGACCGTTGTTTTGTTTTGATCTCTCCCCTTCGCTTCCGTGTGCGTCACTTCTGAGCGGCGCATGCGCAAAGCCCACCTCCATACATCATCCGCCCGGAACTGCTTCTGTTTACAACAGTGAGCGCAACGGTAAATCCAATAATGCGTCAGTCGAGTACAGTACACAGTTGTACAAGGGTCAGTGCCACAAGTTCACGGAGTACTCCCTGCAACTATTCCCCTCCCTCCACCCACGGGGTTAATGTCGAGGGCAGAGGAGAATGTTTACACGAGCAAAGAAGGTGTAAAAATAAAAGAAACTCCCACGCATCCAGGCCAAGGGCCAAGGGCGGGGAAGAATATAAAAACAACAATAAAAATGATGAAAACGAAACCAAAAGATTCCCCATTGGAGTTGCAATGCCACCGCACCACCAGTGAGTGAAGGGGAGCGGAGCACACTTGCTGCGCGAGCAGAGAGCTGGCACGCATGCGCAGTATCTCCGTGGATTCTATCCACAATAGAGAAGGGTATGCGGGAGTGGTCTATATCCCATAGTGAGATACCGAACGGATGTTAGAAAGAGAACGTTAGGTTACTTGCGTAACCCCGGTTCTCTGATAACAGAAGTGAGGTATCTCACCTCACCGCCCTTCTTGCAGACTACACGGTGAAGAAGCTGTGTGGAGAATGACGCTGCAGCGGGCTGCGGTGAGTTATATACCGGGGAGGCGGGACTCCCTGATCGCTGCAGCGATTGGTCTGTCAGTCTGACAGACGTGGTGTAATTGGTGCTTCCGCAGTCGGTCACGCCTGAGGCGTTCCCATAGTGAGATACCTCACTTCTGTTATCAGAGAACCGGGGTTGCGCAAGTAACCTAACGGTTACCGAAGCAGTTGTGTAGTGATTATTTTCACCAATAGAGGGCGCCGTGAGCTACACTGATTGCTTGGTTGCTCTGCTACTTCAGACATTAAGAACTTAACCTTAACAAGAGCAATTATCAAAAGAGACACTATTACCAGAGTGTAGCCACATAACTATTCATGTTAAATTAAAGTAATACTGTTTGTATGTACTAGATAACAGGGCCTGAACAGTGTGTGGAATTGTTTTGCACACAATTTTAAATGTTCCCGAAAACAGACAAACACACATCTCCGTTATAATGACTGGGTGGAAATTAATAGATAAAAATAATCATTGACTAAACAAATACACCAGCAACAATTACATATGCAGAAAGCACATACTTTGTGCTCGAAATAAGCCTAAATTCTATTTAGGGGTAGTAAAGCTCCATTTCAAAAAGACATATACAAAACATTTGAAAAGATTAAAAAAATTTAATTATTAACAGTTTGTGCAAATTAAAATATCAAGTACAATTATTATTAAATACAAAAATGTTAAAGGGGTCATATGCGATTTCAAGTTTTCCTTTCTCTTTGGAGTGTTACAAGCTGTACGTGAATAGATAAGATCCCTAAAGTTGCAAAGACTAAAGTCTCAAAACCAAACTTTGTAGAAAACGAAGCGTTTGAGAGAGGCGGGGCATAGAGGACCTACAATAATGTACAGTATTTGAAAAATAATGTGTTTTTTGAACATTAAAGCATGTCAACATATTCTGTTACACCAAATACACAAAATAATGATCTTTAAAAAAGCATCATATGACCCCTTTAAAGAATCATCATATGTTCTCTTATTGATTTATTGTTTATGTTTTTCTAACGTCATAATTTTGAAAAAAAAATCTGATTTGATCTGATATTTAGCATACTACTTTATCTTTTCATGGCAGAAATAGTAAGAGTATCCGAGTAAAAACCTTGTCTCCCTGATGCCACCCAACCTCCAAACCTCAGACGCTCTCTTTATCTGCAGTTTACTGTCAGTGTACTGACAACAAAATCATTGCATGGTAAAATACAAGAATTGCGCCATGTGTTGCTGTTGGTTATCGTTAACCAAACTATTAAAAACATTTTTGTTAATTGAAATCTAAAATAAAGTGAAATATAAATATTAGATGAAAATTTGAAATGTTGCCTTGTCGGCTAACTGAAATATACAGTTACTATATAGTAACTATATAGTAACTTATTGTATTAACTATACAGTTAATATACAGTGTACTGCGTTAGGCTAACCGAGACTTGTCATTTGCACTTATATATTGTTGCTCTTTTGTTAGTTTTGATTGCTTTTATTGTCCTCATTTGTAAGTCGCTTTGGATAAAAGTGTCTGCTAAATGACTAAAAGTAAAAGTAAAGTAAAGTAAAAGTAAATAAGTTTAGGTTGAAGGACTAAAATGACTAATTATACTATAATGCATAAATCCTAAAACTTAGCTAATTCTAAATTAAATGAAACAAAAATAGTCATATTTAGAAAAAATAAATAAAAATTACAAAAACATTAAATTAATAACATCAAAACTGTAAATATAAAAATAAAAGCTCATTCAATATATGAATAAAAACTATAATATTATACGAATAATAAGACTATGATAACAGTCACAATTAATAGCAGAAGTCCACAGTGCCTAATGATCCTTGATGATCCTAAATAATATCGGCAATTGTGGAAATTAGGAGATATCGTATATACTGTAGAGGAGAGCTCATCTATAATAACAGGGTTCCTATTATTATGGCAAACTTAGACATATCAGGGAATTTTTAAACTTGGTTTTCCAGACTTGGGAAGGTTATGGAAATAAATAAAATCCTAAACATTCATGGGCATTTTTATAAATAAATATACATATATTATAAATGTATTAAATCTGCTAAAAATGGCTGTTTGTGGATGCTTAAAACTCCTTATAAAGTAAGCATAAACAATCAGAGAAATCATGAAAGTTAATTCAATTAATGATGTGTAACCCTGTAATGATGTCACATTTCACTTCAAGTTAGTTCATTTAATCACATATCTCAGTGTCACCTAACTTCTCTTTTTTTCAGATTTGAAAGACATCTCGACAAACAGAGCAGTGCACAATCTGTAAGAATTCATTAATTTGATATGAAATGCACTATAATGACTATATGTCGATTCTTTATTTGATTCAGTCAGAATTCATTGTTGTATTTCAGAATCCATCGAACACAAACCTCATTGACTTGGGAACTTCCAACCAAATAAAGGCAACAAATGGTGCTCATAGCGCAGTCAGCCAGTCAACAGTCACCACACTATCCAATCAGACGGCAGGATTGAGTAAGTTCCACTTTTGCTTATATTTCTGAATCATTTATACTCACATTTTATTCTAATATTAATCTTTGCAGTTATTAATGCATTATTTGTTGCGTGATTTGATATAGGCACAAAAGCTGATGACTTAAAACAAAATAAAAGCAGCTCATCACAAAACAGGTAAGAATTAAAGCAGTAGTTCACCCAAAAAATGAAAATTAGCTGAAAACGTACTCACCCTCAGGCCACCCAAGATGTAGATGAGTTTGTTTCTTCATCAGAACAGATTTGGAGAAATGTAGCATTACATCACTTGCTCACCAATGGATCCTCTGCAGTGAATGGGTGCCGTCAGAATGAGAGTCCAAACAGCTGATAAAAACATCACAATAAGTAATCCACACCACTCCAGTCCATCAATTAATGTCTTGTGAAGTGAAAAGCTGTGTTTGTAAGAAACAAATCCATCATTAGGGTGTTTTAACTTTAAATGAGTCCATAATCCATAATGTTTCCTCCAGCGAAAAAGTCCATCTCCTGTTGTCCTCTCACATCAATATCCAACAACATATTTTGAACTATTTGGACTGTTTTTGCTTGTAAACGGTGCTTGATCTGCATATTTCTCTCCTGATTCAGATGAGACCACTTATTCACTGGAGAAAGCAATATTATGAATAGAAGACTCATATTTTAAGTTAAGAACATCTTAATGATGGATTTGTTTCTTACAAACACGCAGCTTTTCGCTTCACAAGACATTAACTGTTGGACTGGAGTTGTGTGGATTATTGTTATGTTTTTATGAACTGTTTGGACTAGGGATGCGCCGATCCGATATTCATATCGGGTATCCAACACTTTTATTTGTTCCCCACAAAATATTTTTTCACTAAATGTTTGGATTTCTAAAATTATTGTGCACTGATTTTTCTAGAATAACTTTTGCTGCCAAATTATCCACTAACCTAGTTTATGATAAATTTTTGTCATAGATTATAAATATACATAGGCCTATATTTTTTCATATTTATTGTTTATTTTATTTTTCTTTATAATGAAGTTGTCTGTATCTAGTAGATTGTGAAAGAATGATTATCAGCTCCACACACAGAGATATATAAATTCTACATTTATTTAAATGGGGGGAAAAGCTTCACTGGTATCGGATCGGTATCGGCCAATACCGAACCCTAGGTATCGGAGGCGAAAAAGGTGGATCGGAGCATCCCTAGTTTGGACTCTCATTCTGACGGCACCCATTCACTGCAGAGGACCCACTGGTGAGCAAGTGATGGAATGCTACATTTCTCCAAATCTGTACTGATGAAGAAACAAACTCATCTTCATCTTGGATGGTCTTAGGTTTTTTTTTTCTTTTCTTTTTTGGGTGAACTATTCCTTTAATTAATTAATTAATTTATTTTTAATAAACAGTGTGTTCATTTTGCATGATTTGAGGTATTGATCATAGCATAAATGTTGCTGGACAACAACACCAAAGTGTAAAACTTGACATTTACATATTTTTTGCATGATTTATTACCAGTCTAGAAAGCTCTGCAGCTCTTGTGGGACTTGCAGCCACTCAAAGAGAGCGACAGGACCCTGGAGTGGTACGTGTGACTGAATTATTTAGACCTGCAGAAAGGATATCATGTTTCGTGCGTTCAAATAGCATCTCTTTGTATTAGGAGAGAGCAGCATTCATTATTGTACTGTATGGAACAGCATTCAAGATGTTTCTGTGTGTTGTTTTCACCTGCTATTGGATGCCACGAAGTCCGTCATTTTAAATGGTTGTCTGTCTATGTTAAGGATGTCAGCCTAGACTCCAACTCCCTTGGCAGCTCGCCTCGGTTTCATTGGATGCTTGAAAAGGGAATGGTGGGTCTGATTGGCTGATAAAACAGTCAGCCTGCAGCGTGACGTGCTTTATACAGACCTGCTGCTCTGGGAGCTTTTTTTCCTTCGGCATGTTTTTTTTCTCATTTGGTGAATGATAAGTGTTCGCTGTCTTGCTTCTGAGTGGCCCGCATGGTTTGAGGAGCTTCATTATCTTTATTTGCTGGAGGTTCTGTGGGTGTTCAGCCTTATTTTAGGATGTTGCCAAATTTCAAAACAACTTATTTCCCATCCTCAGGACTGAAACATAACGCATCTTCCTTTACACTTTAAAGCACTGAGAAGCGTGAAGCTTGTCTGAGATTGCTACTGATAGTTGTGCTAATGCAAATGAACTAATATATTTCTCCTGCTGTCAGATTCCTGTCAATCAGAGTGAAGTGATGGACGACATTGAACGATGGCTGGACGGAGATGATGTAAGCGACACATTTTTAGACCTCTAACTGGGTGCTTGTGAGGAGTATTACAGTTCTGACTCTAATTTCGATTCCACTGCTTTCTATGCAAATTCCCCCTCAAATGATTGGTCATAAAACAATAATACTATTCATGTTTTAAAACAACCTGACAAATATCAAAACTCTCTTATAAAACTACAGTTCAGAAGTGTGAAATTAATACTTTTATTTAGCAATGATGCAATTACGGATGGTAAAGACACAATGTTAGAAAAGCTTTTTAGTTCAAATTAATGCTGTTCCTCTGAACTTTCTGTTCATCAAAGAATCCTGAATAAAAATGTGTCACGGTTTCCACAAAAATATGAAGCAGCACAACTGTTCTCTCGTTGATGTTTCTTGAGCAGCATATCAGAATGATTTCTGAAGGATCATGTGAAAATTCAGCTTTGCCATCACAAGAATAAATGACATTTTAAAATGTATTCAAATCACAATATTACTGCTTTTATTGTGTTTTTATAAAAACAATAGTGTATATGAATATTTTTTTCAAAAACAGTAGTGTATATGAATACATACAACTATGAACTGTCATATGAACCAGTCAGTAATGACTCACAAATCTTTATATGAAATAGTGAACACTGAACATGACAAAAGTACTGATTAGCAGTTCAGTAGATGAAGAACTGCTGCAAATGATTCAGGAACAAGTCTCTTCTTTGCATCAAGTTTCTGAAACATGCACTATAAGACCTTTTATGATGAAGAAGACATTATTCAATATAAGTGGGTGTATTTGGATTTCATGTCATCTTAAATCATTGATTATTGTATTTCATAAGTGTATTTTTGTGTTTGTTTTGTGACACAGGAAGATGACTCTGAAGGAGTGACTAGTGAAGGTAATCATTCTTAATATGGCTATTATGATAATGCTTTCAGCTACAAATAAGACTGTAGTACTTTTAGCACCATATAACACATTTTGCCATATTTGATCGGAGGTAGATTTAAATTGACATCAAAAAATGTGGGAAACGCTTCAGTCCTTCTGGGCCATAAGCTAAAAGGATATTTGCATGCTCACTCATCTTTTTTTCTGCATACGAGACATGAGTGGCTGATGTTCATGCTTTTTTAGAGAATCTAATTGCATTCTGTCAGTCTTCCTGTTGTAAGAGTATCAGTCTGGGTAGCTCATTTCTGACCTGCTGGATGTTCTTATTTAGTCACCTTCGTGATCTTCCCCGTTTCACTGTAGTCTGGCTGTTACTCAGCTTGTGGTTTCATTACATTCACTGCACCCTGTGAAATGTGGTCATCTTTTTCACACTGCAGGTACTTTCCAAAGCGCGAGTTCCTCAATTTTCACTAAAGGCCACATTTTTTCAATACATAGACAATGGGGGGTACCGGCTATGTTGCTATGTCATGACATAAATATTACAATTTTTATTAGCTTTTTTTCCTAAGTATTGGTAGTAGCAGTATTATGAACATTTTATTTGTGTAAAGATACTACACAACTTTGCCTGTTGAATATTTGAGAAAGAAAAGAAAAGTAGTCCTCCATGTGTCAACTGTTCCTACTCTCCACAAAGGATCTCCTCCCTGGACTTTCCCTAACTTCAGAATCAATTATTAGATCTATCAGCATTAATATTATTATTCTTAATAAATGTTTAGGGATCAAAATGTAGCTGTATTAACTGACATCTACTCATCATTCAATGAGAAAAGTAACTTCTGTTTGCAGCACTCGAGAACGTTCCACATAACTGGAGTTGCAATTCAATGAACTGAAATGTCGTTAGATGCTAGTAGTTTTACAGACCATCAAGGTCTGCATGCATAAACAACACTTAGCATTACCTTGTGGTTTTCAGACAAAATTGCGCAGTCCATTCACACTCGCCATGGTTTCGCTGTCAGACTGTGTGTGTGTGTACAGGGCTTTCTACACTGGACGCGTCAAAATATCACAAACACGTTAGAAAGTATGTCAGAAACAGAACAGGGCATCAGTTTACTGTCTGCGACTCGTTGCATAGCGTCGCAGTGTAGACAGTGGCGTTGATAATAATGTGTTCTATTTGCTTTTGCCGCTCTTGTCCGGTGTAGACGCTACTTTAAGTGGTTTGGCACCAACATGCTTACGGTGACGTACACAGACTTAAAGGGTTAGTTCACCCAAAAATGAAAATTAGTCCATAAATTACTCACCCTCAAGTCATCCTAGGTGTATACGACTTTCTTCTTTCAGATGAATCCAGTCAGTTATATTAAAAATTGTCTTTGATCTTTCAAGCTGTTAAATGCTGCTCAGCGGGTGTTGCATGCATCCGTCCAAAAGAAGTTAAATAAAAAGCGCCCATTCATAAAACATTTTTTTTTAAAAGTCTCA